ACGTCGCGAAAATTCTGTTTTGTTTTTTAATTTTTCCAAGCTTAGGATGTCATGTTCACTTGAAGCACGACTATAAACCATAACTGGAAGCTTACATTTTTTTTCTGGATTTAATAGATGTTCTGACTAAATTTTAGCGTTTTCAGGTTTCGCAAACACCGTTTTCACCCCACGTTAAAACTCTGTCGCCGATTTTATCCACATCTACATAATTTAGACGGATTTTTTGTGGCGAAGTTGAAGAAATTATCTAATCAGATTCCACAGACAGACACAGGTAAACCGTGTGAATTGATTTTCCTGGTGTCAGCGTTTTTGTTTTAGATGAACCTAAGGAAGTAGATGCAGAAATGAATGAGCAGATGTCGACTGTGTCCAAAAAATTGAAAAACAGCGCAGCGAATCACAAGAAAGTCGGTAACAAGCATAAGACGCCGAAAACGTCCCAGTTGCATGTCAAAAAAAGCGTTTTCAAGAAAAGAAAATCCGACACACAAAAAGAAGCTACAAACGTAGTAAAAAGGCCGAAAAAGACTGATAGATCGTCTTATGCAAACAATGCTCAATGAGAATAAATTTTTTACGCATGTCTGTTGTAGACTTTGTTTGTGTCGGTGAAACTCGTTCAGAACGAACTTTTTGTTTTCAAAGTTTTCAGACGTCAAGCTTTCTTTTAATGCATAGCGCCTATGTGTTTGCTTGCTGCAGGCACACTGCCTGACGATGCGATGTCGCTGCCCAGTGTGGTGGAGTATTTTGGCTTACAATCTGAACGACACTGCGGCTACTGCAAGGATGTTACCAAAAACAAATGTAGCTATGGTAAATGATGTTATTCCTCTGGCCCATTCAAACGTTTTCGTTATGTGTTAAAGTCTTCAGATTGTACTTCATACGCAGGTATATCACGTTTCCGTCAAATCACATTTTCAAAGATTATAACTCAGATACCATATATCAAATTTGTTTCATTAAATATAAACACTGCCTATTCGATATCTGCTGTAATCATCTTGTTTCACATAATTGCTCGATGAAAATATCTTGCAGTGAATTATTCATGAACTTTGCAGTCATTGAAACTGGCGCAGACCCTCTTGGGTTTCTATCGGTTAAAAAGATTTTCGATTTCATCAAGTTGACGGCTATGTTCAAGGTCCTAGACGAACGCGTTGTTACTTATGTTTATTTCAGCTTGGTCGAGAGTTCAGCATCAAATGCGCGACGGGTATGAAGCTGTTGAGTGAAGTATAGCTCGTTTGTTTCTATGGAGGAGTGTATCAAGGAGATACCATCTCTGAAACTTGCTTCGGTCTTGCGATCACTCTTCAAGTAAACTAACGGATACGGCGGTATCAGCACAACGGAGAACAGCTGAACCCTAAGGCTTTGCCTGCGACCTCGTCTTTGCTGAGAACATGTCAGCAACAAGAGATTGTAGTTTCGGGACGAATCCTTCGCTGTCACTTTGTTAGAGCGTTTCGCCATTACGCTTGCAGAATTACTAGGGCTGATGTCAATCTGCTTAGACAACCTAAAGAGGAAGCGTGAATGTCAAATGGCGTCAGTCAGGCAATCGCTATCAGTTTTGTGATTAGACCTCAGCTTTC